AACCTTAACAGAAGTGGGAGAATGTAGTAGGCCCAACTATTGATGATACCATTAAGACTGACAAATCTTAACATACCACTATGATGTTTAGTGACAGATGTTTAGAATTTGTTAGAAAAACGTTTTCCATGTGGCTGGACAAGATAAGCTTATGCCATCTTTTTTTTTTTTTCTCCAGATTGTATTTAATTTGAAAGGCAGAGTTACAGAAGGAGTGTTAAGAGGGAGAGGTCACAAATCAGAGCTGTTCCAGGCCAAACCCAGGAGCTCAGAGCTGATTCCAGTTCTTTTACATGGGTACAGGGGCCCAAGCATTTGGGCTATCTTCTGCTGTTCCAGGTACATTAGCAGAGAGCTGGACTGGAATTGGAACAGCTGGGACTTGAGCTAGCACCCTATGGGATGCTGGCACTAAAGGGAGCAGCTTAACTTGCTGCACCATTGTGTCTGCCCCCCACTTCCTTATCATTTAAAGTAAAACTTGCAAATGTATTCCACCAAAAAGTTAAGTGAAGTCCATATAAAAATGTTGGATTCTTTTTAGAAAGATTTATTTTTATTGGAAAAGCAGATTTACAGAGGACACAGATAAAGATCCCCCATCTGTTGTTTATTCCCCAATTGGCTACAACAGCCAGAGCTAAGCCAATCTGAAGCCAGAAACCAGGAGCTTTCTCTGGGTCTCCCATGCGGGTGCAGGGTCCCAAGGTTTTTGGCCATCCTCTACTAGGAATTTGGATGGGAAGCAGGGCAGACAGGACATGAACTAGAGACCATATGCGATCCTGGCACTTGCCTGGTGAGGATTTAGCCATTGAGCCGGGTCCCCGGAGTTCTTTTTTTAAAGCAGGCACAAGAATTTGTTTGCCTATGGTGCATCCAACCCATTGTTTTAAAAGTCCCATTGCCTTGGCATCCCAGCTAAGTATCCCATTCTTACTTTGGAGTGAACACAGAGTTTTACTGAGGTAATACTCACAGATGTTTTTCCAAATGAGATCATCTATGAAATATTTACTAAAATGAGAAGATCTCTGAAACCATCCTTTCCCTAATAGATTTTATATAAGTTTGGTGGTCTGTCTCCTAAAATCCTTTGTTCTGACTTGAGAAATTCTTTGAAAGGCTTCAATTATTTTCACTTAAGCCCACTGTCAGTGTTATGAATGATATTTGTGGAATGCTGTGTAGAGGGGCAGAAAAATAAAGCAATTTGCTTCTATGCCAAAGAAAGGAGGGGAGAAAAGGCCACATAGAAGAGGTCCGAGTAGCCATCCATCCTTGCCATTACCACATCAACCTTAATTGTTCACTGAGTGCCCACCCTCTGTTGAGCGAAGTATAGAGCACTGTGTTTTATCTTTTTTAGTCCTCACATTTCCTGTGACAGAGACAGTTTTATTTATCCCTGTGTGTTAGATGGAGAAGCTGAAGCTCAGAGATGTTAAATGATGCTCAGGTAACACAGATAGTAGGTGGATTATTTGGGATTTGGAACAAGCAGTCTGACATCCGAGCCCAAGTCTGAAAGCTGTGTTAGTATTCCCAGAGAAAGCCAAACAGGCTTTGAAGGTAGAAGGGACGTGATTTTTACCAAGTGGGTGGTGCTGACAGAAGACCAGGCCATTCACCACACTTAGGCACTGTTGGGGACCTACTTGCCCAGAGGTGGCATGATAGGAGGCCAAAAAGGCTGAGTAAAGATTTGACTAGTTACATGAATCTTCCCAGCAAGAAAACGGCAATTTCCTTTTCTTGAACAAAAAGGTAACTTCATGTGTTTTTCTGAGATTGCTCTGGCATGATGGTCATCTCAGGTTTTGGTGTTTTATTCATGGCGAATGCTTCAGGGCTTCTCACTCTTTGAAAGCTGTAGCATTCACTTCTGTCTTCAGAGGATGCTGTTCTAGTGCAGACCAGGTGGAAGCCTTCTTTCAATACAGTGTCAATCAGTAAGCCAAGGACATTTGTTCCATTAGCCAATTTCCGATTGTCAGGTTTTATGGAAATATACCTGGACACATAAAAAACTGAAATTATAAACCATCCCTTCAGGAATTTGCAAAACTACACAATTTGTCAGTATTGACATTCAGTTTTCTTTTGTGATTTATTCTGAGTCAATCAACTTTTAAGTAAAATTTTGCAGATAAAAATTTTAAGATTTTATTGCTCACTTTTCACCTTCCAACTGTACGTTGTCAAAGATTTGGGGTCAAAGAGCCTCTGGAGTGGAAATGCAAAAATCTACTGCCAGGGTAACTGCATAGAGCCAAATATCTGAACTTCCCAATTTGACTGTATGGGGTCTTTCCTGGTATCAGCCTAAGGCATCTTCACAGATGTAGCTCTGCTAATTCCTTCTCTACCATGACTGTGCTTTTATCTGTGTCCACCAACTGTTTATGAAATTTGAAGACGATGCTTAGTTCTAGGCAGAAACTGAGAACTATTTAGAGTTAACAAAATAGGTAATAAAATGCTTAGGCATATCCCCAACCTCCTTTAAATGATCACAATTAAAATATTCACCTAGAGTTCATACTTCTAGGCAAAGAAAAAATAATGAAATCTAAGAATTATCAAACTAAAACGCATCTCAATGATTTTATTCTATTTGATAAGCAAATTTTTAACATCAATAAATCATCTCATCTAGTTCCAAACTCAGATCTTCATTATGTAGCCTAGAAACATTTGTTAAAGGGATAAAAAGTTAAGTAAAGGATGGAATAAAAGAAACTAATAAGAAATAAAAAGCCAAAACTTCCTTTTTAAAATTTTAAAGGAATTTTCTATTGAGTCAGTTTCTAAAAGAGATGTTAAATAGAATAAAGGCTACAAAAGAGACCCAAGAATCCTGTGACCATCCTTGCCAGTATTCCATCACATCAATGGCCTTCTGAAAGAATCAAGCATTTCTAATCTAATCTTATGAACTTAAGAAATTGTAACTGACCAATGCAGTAAGTTAGCAAGACCTTAGAGTGTTTCACATTGGTGGAACATACTGAATAAATGAGATTATATGCCAGACTAATGGGAGCCATTCAGGCTTCCTCCTCTACCTTTTATCTGAAAAGATAAATCCAGACCAAGAAATGAACAAAAAATATACAAGTTTGCTGACTAGACAGATATGTACATACGCAAGTGGGACTTTGAAAGCAGATTCTTCATTCATCTACCAGAGATCACTGTCATTAGTTTATTCAGACTATATATATGTCTTTACTTTGAAATTGGCATAATGTTTTTAAAATCACTCATATTAATGGAGTGGAAAAAATTCTCAGCTTCTAGAAACTTAAAAGAATACTGTTTGGTGATATAAGCAGCATTAATTTAAAAAATGGTATTTTGGTATTATCTACTTTGAAATTTAAATATGCCATTCTCATTGTATAAATATAGCAATATCCCTTTTTTGTTTCTAATCTTGTTTGTCAAATTTATAGTTTTCTGCATGTGTAATTTTTAAAGAAACATGTATTATTCCCAAGGCATCTTCTCCTTATTTACCTATTTCTTCTTTAAGTCAAGGATATCATTTTCCTCTAGGTTTCTCTTTCAAAGGGGACACTTAAATCAATCATAATCATAATCATTTAAAATTTGAAGACCCCAAATAGATAATTTCTCTTGGTTATTGAATGTCCTACCAACAGAAAGAGAAATTGTACAGTGTTCATTTTAAATAAAAATGCAGCCTCAGACTTTCTTCACAACCAGCCCATTAATTCTCAGTTTTATTGTTCAGTGGTTTCCATTTGGTAATCAAGTGCTTCCTGATGGTTGCTCCTAAAATGTCTGTCTGCCTTTACCACCACCACTACACACACAGAGTGTATTTTTTTTTAATGTTACACATATAGGGTCCTGACCCCCCACCAATGAAGACTTGGACATTGGTAAAATAATGGTAGAACATGAAAACATTTGGGGTTAGGGGACAGAATGTGACTGCAAAGTGAAAAGCAGCCTTAGGATCCAGCCAAGAACAACAGAGAGAAAAATGTGAAGAATTAATTCAAGAACAACTAAGCCTAACTTATAATCTACTCTAATGTTTTTGAGCTGTGTTAAGTACCAACAATGTAATAGGACATCAAATCTGTCAAGAAATGTATCTGCCTTTAAAGGATGTTTAAAGGTAGATGAAGTCGTAGTTTTTTTGCTTTAAAGATTTATTTATTTTTATCTGAAAATCAGATTTAGAGAGAAGGGGAGACAAAGCTCTCCCATATATTGCTGGTTCACTCCCCAATGGCTGCAACAGCAGGATCTGAGCCAGAGCTGACTGGGGCTGAGCTAATCCAAAGCCAGAAACCACTTCCAGCTTCGGGTAGCATAGTGACTAAATCCTTGTCTTGCTTCTGCTGGGATCCGTGATGGGCGCCACTTTATGTCCAGGCTGCTCCACTTCCCATTCAGCTCCCTGCCTGTGGCCTGGGAAAGCAGCAGAGGACAGCCTAATGCCTCCTTGCGATCCTGCGCCCATGAGGGAGACCTGGAGGAGGCTCCTGGCTCCTGGATTCGGTTCAGCTCAGCTCCAGCCATTGTGGCCCCTTGGAGAGTGATCCAGAGGATGGAAGATCTTTCTGTCTCCCTTTCTCTTCGTATATTGCCTTTCCAATAAAAAAATAAAATATATCTTAAAAAAAAAAACTTTAAAGAACCAATATAAACTATTTAAGAAAATCAGAAGAAAACAGCCTTTCTTATCTGGAAGCCACTGAAATAATCTCTTGAAAAATAAGACCATTTGCTTCTAAGCCAAATTCTTCAGCAGTGGGATTAAATTATAAAATTATCTCCTCCTATAAGAAGTAATCATAATCCCAATTTTTCCCTGTGTAGTTTGGTTATTCTTGTTGTCCCATATACTGAGTATATCCCTTTCCACTCTAAAAAGCATCCCTGTTTAGAAACCAGTTATTTGGTCATTCTACCCGACTCCACTGATTATCCTAAAGTATTATTTTAAAAAATCATTTTCTCCCAAGAAAAAAATTTCAGGAAAGAGGAACACTGAATTTTGAAGGGAAATTTCAGAAACTGGTATATAAGAGAGATGCCTCAAAGAACAAAATACCTGACTGCAGTTTGGTTCTCAGTAGTGCTGTCGGAGCCGCACTGGAAAACCAAGTCATGGTAAGAAGGTCTCTGCGGAGGCAGCGGGAGGAGCGTCGGCTTCCGGCGGAAGGAGTTACCACTCCAGGTGAGTGCGGAGGGCTGCTCCACATACACCGTAATCCTCCCACAGAGCATCTCAATGGTTTTGCAGCAAGAGCCAAACACCCTGAAAAATGCTCGAGTGTTTTGGCTTAGGAAATGCACTTCCAGGACAGCAGGTCTTGTCTGCAGCAGATGTTGGTTTAAGAGATCAACCAGAGAATCGAGTTCATAGAAAAGGGCCTCTCTCTGAAGCCTGAAGTGGTCTGAAAAGTCAGTGGGTAACAGAAGCTGGTGAGTCCTCAAAAAATCCAAGATGAAGCTAAATAAAACACCATCTCTATCCACAAAAATCTGGCCACCAACCATCTTGAATTCTTGGTCTGTGCCATCTAACATCTGTGCCAATCGAGAAGCAGGAAACTGCTTTAGGGTAGAAAGTCTTGTAGTGAATAGCTTCCCTCCCACGTTCAGAGTGACCAGTTCCTGACTGCTCATTCTTCCCCAGCACCAAACTAGTAGCTATGAACTGTCAGGTGTAAGCTTGAACAACTTGTAGACCAGCCTATAACTGGAAATGTTGTGACTTATGTATGATTAAGAAATAGAAGGGAGGGGAAATACAGAAACCACACACCTAGATACCTGGGTGACTACGCTAAGGCAGAATGTAGCTATGGCTGTGTTAGCAAATTCAAGTTGCTTGGGAACTTGCAAGACACAATGAAAAAGCAACAGATATAGAAGTGAATTGCCAACATGTCATATAGTTCCCTTCCTGTCTTCCGTTTAAAACTTCTCCATGAAAACCTGCTCTAACTCTATATTAAAAAAAAAATTACTCGAAGTACAAAAGCGTTTCCCTTCCCTGGACCTCTTACCTATCGGAGCCATCAAGGCAGAGGGAAGATGTGGAGACACCGTCTTCATTTCTTACCCCTTAGTTACTCAATGGCTAAGTTATGAATTATGTTAGGAATAGGGTGGCTGCCTCTTCTTTTTTTAAAAGATTTATTTTTATTATTTTTTTATTGGAAAGGCGGATATACAGAGAGGAGAGACAGAGAGGAAGATCTTCCATCCTATGATTCACTCCCCAAGCAACGGCTGATACTATGCCGATCCGAAGCCAGGAGCCTCTTCCGGGTCTCCCACGCGGGTGCAGGGTCCCAAAGCTTTGGGCCGTCCTCGACTGGTTTCCCAGGCCACAAGCAGGGAGCTGGAAGGGAAGCGGGGCTGCCGGGATAGAACCGGCGCCCATATGGGATCCCGGGCGTGCAAGGTGAGGACCTTAACCACTGCGCCACCGCGCTGGGCCCGTGGCTGCCTCTTCTTACAGCCACAAGGAAAGGAAATGATTTTCTTGTGTACATCATCTGCCACCAAGTTAAACAAGGACCAGGGTCAGATACACTCTGTCTCCAAAATCCTGTGCATTTTTGTGGGTTTTCAGACAGGCTGGAGAGCAGTTCTCAGATAAAGTAACTTCTCTGTTTTCATCTGAAGGTAAGGCAAAAATACTAAGTATTTTTATTCTGATTGTGGTAGGGCATTTGTGTCTCACGTGAGCGATTCAGGCAGCCTTAGTTTTCAGCTGTACTTTATTTTTTAACCGATTGTCAAGTTTTAAAATGCTTAAAACTGTAAGTGGATTGATTTGGTTGTGGAGTTGCTCTGATACTTACGAACAACATAGCACTGCACTGTCAATGAAAAGATGGCTTACCCATTTCTCTCTTTTCTCATATGCTGCATTTTAAAAAATCTGTGCTTAATGCCACATAATACCGTGTCTGAAGTTCATCACCTCTAGTAAAGATGTTACACAAGTAAGAGGGCATAGTCACCTTCCTGAAAAATGTAAATTTGTCACAGGAAAATGCCAGTTTCTGTTTACAGAAGTTTTACATTTTGGTTAGATGGAAATCAAGGGTAACCCATTCCAACTGCATCGTGTTTTTTTTTAAAAAAAAAATATTAACTATGCAAACAATTTGGTTTACAAATGGTATTTATTGCATGCTTGATGAACAATCAATGTATTCTGCTACCTTCCTTATCAATACAAGAGTTCATTCACCTCCCATTTGTAATCATAAACAATACTGGGGGGCAAAAGCACTCTAAAGAGGTTCAGGGCTATTTATCAAATTTTATTTTCATCCTTAAGCTAATTTAAACACATTATTTTTTTGTTTCAATTCTTATTTGAGAAAAAAAGTATACACTCGTAGCCACGGCAACTGGGGCTGACCCAAGGCCAAGTCAGGAGTAACAAACTTATCCAAATCTGGCATGGGGTGGCAGGAACCCAGCCACTTGAACCACTGCCTTTCCAACTCTACATCAGCAGGAAACTGGAGGCGGGTGTAAAACCAGGCACTCCAGTGTGGGACACATGCTAGGCCAAGTGCCACCCCAGAACATCACTTTCAAAGGAAATGTTTTTTGAGGAAAATATCTGACTAGAATTTTGACCAAAGCTGAATTACTATTCTAATAAATTCTAATAAAAGAACTGCATACGTAAAACAGATTTTATAATAGTTTATATTTGCACACAAAATCTGCCACGTTGTTCAGCACCACCAAACTAAAATTCCTTAATTTTTCACTGACAATGAGAAACCCATCTGTCACCTGTTCCCAGTAAAAAAAGGATTGTTCTATAAAATTAGCTTTCATAGTAAGGTAAGAAGTGAAGTTTGAAAGATGGTCTTGCCATACAGCTAATTCATCGATCAAAGACCATTCTAGGAATACATTAGGACTGAAGAAAATGAGGATGCCCAGCAAAACGACTACCCCAAGCATCTGATACAGGCGCCAGGGAACCTTGCTAATGAACGTGCCAGTGTCTTGAGGCAAAGAAAGTTTATCCACGTCTACTAGTTTGATGTCCTCCCACTGACTAGTATCAAAGTTCTTCATTAAAGGGCTTGTGGGCAAATTAGAGGGAGGTAAAGGAGTTTCCTTGATGACTTTGATTTTCTCCCTGAACTCCTGCATCTGTTGCAGAAATATGATGGGTTCCGATACATCTTTGAAAGCCTCAGCAATGTTAAAGGCCATTCGCTGTTCCTGCAAGATGGTGTTGAGTTTGTTGATCTCTGGATCATAGGCTTGCATCACTGCAAGTTTCATGGTCTCAAAGTCAGATAGAATTTCATTCTTTTTTTGATCCAGTGTGTGTTGTAACTTCTCAAAAAACTCCTTTACTTTATCTGAATCTTTAGTCAGTAACTGTAGGGATTTCCTCTTGCTAGTTTCCAATGTGTCCAAGCGAGAAAGAGCATCTCCGCGCCGCCATGTCTCAAAGCTCTGGAAGAGGGACTCGAAGGCATTCCTCTCCTGAGCATAGGCGTCTTCAATAGAGCAGAAGACGTGCTTGGTGTGGTCACCCCGAGTAGCACAGACCCCACAAATGAGCTGCATGTCAGTCAGGCAGAAAATGTTCAGGGGCTGCCCCAGGTGTTCTTTGCACACTGGCATCTTGGGAGAGATCTTGATCTTGTTATACTTTTCCACAATACCCTTCAGGGAATAATTAACCTGCAGGCTGTTAACTCCAGAAGCTGAAGTTTCCTTACGGCATGTAGGGCACTTGAAAGGCGATGGTCTCCACAACGAATTCCGCACATTCCCCTCTAACAGACCTTCCAGGCATTTCTTACAGAAGTTGTGTGAGCAAGGCAAAACTCGAGGATCATCAAACAGACTGCAACAAATTGGGCAAGTGAGGTCTTCCTCAAGCAGCTCCATGACATCCTGTGGTAGAGAAAGACATACTTAGTTTTACTCCAGTCATCTCCTTCAGCAGGATTCCATAATTAGAAAAAGTTATCTTCAGATTTAAATGACCTTCCACTGGAATAACCAGCCACACAGAAATCAGTGAGAAATTTGGGAAGGGAATGCACACCAAAGCAGATTTAATCTGTGGGACTAGAACACACTCCTTATTAGTGGGGCGCCCTGTACACAAGGCCTTTGTGTGGGCTTTCCAACAACAGTCTTTGGCTGAGACAGGGTTAGGACAAGGACAACTGCAAGCTGAGCCAGTAGGACCCAACTGATTGTTTTAAAACAGAGAGCTGACTACTAGCTGTCAGAAACAAAGCTACTCAGTGTTTATAATAGAATGAGCTCTTTACTTTGAGCCCACAAACATAAAATGGTATGCTCTTTAAAAGAAAGCAGCACAGAAAGAAAGCCAAGCATGTACTCTCATACAAACTTATACTAGTAATTGGCATATTTTTCTATTTCCAAGCCAAGATTACAAAGATTAAAATTAGAGGTAGAGTAATTCTTCCCTGGGGAATTGGGTCTTTGTCGTTTGTAAAGCACAAAGGCACTAGCCAACACCATCTTCTATTAGCTAGAGTGTCAGTCCTCAAAGGGTGGCCAGAAATGTGCATGTCTCTTCCTTTTCATACTACTAAGATACTTGCTTTCCACACTGTACTGGCAGCAAAAGCAGTAGCAGGCTGGACACTTCAACAGGAATTAGCCACAGTAAGCAACATCGAATTGTTCCTGCTCGTCACTGTCGGTACCACTACACATTCCTGGTGGGACAAGGGAGCCAGTGTGAGAATGTTCTTGATGGACCAGTAAAAAGTACTTGATTCTGTTAAATCTCCATCTGACATACACCTTGTCTTAATATTTGAACTGACAAATTGAGAAGTACACACATAGAACTTCCAGAATGAGCTGCAGGAGGAACAGCTGCTTTTTGCATGCACACCATTTTTAAAAGAACAAATGTAACCAGGGCTATTAAGACTTAACTACATGACAGACATTTTCTTGAAAACAAGCAAGATGAGCTTGTTACTTCATAGAAAAGTAACTATTTCTTACTAATGAAAGGTTTTTATGTGAAAATTAGAATTTTGGAAATCATATTTGCCACTTCTCAGCTTCCCAGCTTCCATTCATTAATTAAAGCCTTCTGATGAGATACGAAGTTACAGTACAGCATCCTGGAATCAGGGGGAAGTATTATTTTCTGAAATATCTATTTGGAGATCTAAATGTCAAAGTGAACTAATATTATCTGAAGTCAGCAATGCAAAATATTGCATAAAAGATCAATTATAAGTAGAAGACAGACCAATAGGTTCATTATATAGATTTCAGATTCCAAACTGCAGCAAAGAAACTAACACCTGAATTTGGGAAGAGTATCTAAGATCCATAATTACCTGAAAAGGGTATTCAAACAGTCTTCCCTTACCAACTTTGTATCTTTATATATATATGTCAGGCTTGTCTCTATATATTTCAACCAAAATAATGTATTGCAGCAAATTCAAGGCAGAAGCAAACATTCCACTTGTCTTCCATTAAATAAGCATTCATTAAAGATACCTATAAATACAGAAAGGAATGCCACTCTTCCCACAATTATGTTTTGAAAATAAATTATTCACATGTAATGGGTTTTTCAATTATGAATGAATTACATATTTTATAAATTCTCAGCTTTTGCTCATACAGTGAATAGCTAGACAATATACTCAAATAAAACCTTTTAGTAGTTTCAGTTTTTAAGTTTAATTCATAGTGGCCCAAGACCAAGTATTTGAGATCTTTGTTCTAGAGAATTCTGTTTTTCCAGGAGCTATAAGGTAGGCCCAGAAAGACAAATATCCCTTTGTCTTATGGAATTCTTATCTATGGAATACAGAGAATAAAAATTGTGTGGATGTCATATTAGTTGCTATAAAGATATAAATAGTGCTTCATTCTATTTTACATGACAATGCACCCTTTCCCCCCATCACTTTAGGATCACTGACATCCCACCATTTTGTGCTATCAGTATTCCTATTTTGAAGAAAAACAATATATCATATTTTAAGTGACATCTTAAAAGTGTTAACACCACAAACAGTGCTAGGAATTTCATTTGAATCATGGATACAAATGTGTACAAGTCATATTGCCACCAAGTCCAAACAGGAATTACAAATCTAATGCATGTAATAATAGAAAACTAGTAAATTTTTAGCGGATTTCAGCAGTCATAATTGGAGCTATATCTAGAAAGTGTATAGTATTTAAAACATAAGCAGGCATTTAGCCTAGAAATTAAGACAACCACATCCCCCAGTAGAGTACCTAGGTGGGCTATCTAGCTCCAGCCCCTGACCCTAACTGCCTGCATGTGCTGCCTCAAGGGGGCGCTGTGCCAACCAAGTCATGGGAGAACTACATTGAGTTCCTGGCTCCCCGTCTGTTCCTTGGTCCTTACAGGCCAAGGAACCAACACAGTGGTAGAACATTCATCCTCTTTGACTCTCTCACTAAACTTTTTTTTCCCTCAATAAACTTTTAAGTTAGGCATTGATTAAACATTTTTAATCATTAAACATCCTTGATTTCAACATTTTTGCCAATATAAACATGTTTTATTTCCATTTTCCATGAACTTTTTTAAGTACCCTCATACACATGCAGGACTAAAGATTATTCTATTTCAAAATTTTGTGTCATGTATCATAAATATGTCAAAATTTCTGTGATGTGGGCAATAACTTTTTTTCTTTCCATGCTTAAATTATTATTTTATGATATAGTTCCATAGGCTCTGGGATTTCCCTTACTACTCTCCAGATCTCCTGCCCCCGCCAATGATTTCCCCTATATTATTATTACTATAGTATAGTTCTTTATAACCAGTCATAAGTCTGTCATTACAGGCATGGACAATGATAGAGAGTTCAGCAAACTATTGTCAAGATATGTTAAACAGTTTAATTGGGAGTCCATCTTTGGTTTGGAAGTAGAGATGCATACTGCATTGTGTCTTAATATCTGGATATGATAGTCTCCGTTACAGTTACTATACACATCTCCGTTAAATGAAAAGCCATAAAACGAAAATCAACAGGAAGAAATAGAAATTACAATGTCATGAAGTTAAGTAGCATGCTACTGAATGATTAATGTGTTGCTGAAGAAATGAAAAAAAATCAAGAACCTTCTTGAATAAAATGATGCTACTGTATGACCTATGAGTCAGTGAAGAATTTGAGAAAAACTGTTTTGAAGAAATGAAAATATGAAAAAAAAAAAAACATAAAAATCCAGGAGATACTGCTTCCGCTGATCTTTGTTGGTGAGATATTTCTTGTAAGCAACAAATAGGTGGGTTTTGATTTTTGATCTAGTCTTCTAACCTATGACTGATGATTTTAAGCCATTTACATTCAGGGTTAATATGAATGGGTGGTAATTTGGTCCTATCATTTAGCAATGGGTCATTGATTTAGTCTCCTGCTGTTATTTTATTGGGATTTTCTTCACATTTGCCTTTGGTTTCGGTGGGTGCTATTCCTTTTCCCTTTGAATATCCTTTTCCTTTTTTTTAAGATTTATTTATTTTTAGAACTGGTGCGCATATGGGATCCTGGCGTGTTCAAGGTGAGGGACTTCAGCCGCTAGGCCTCCACACCAAAGAGACTATCTTTAAATATAATTTGTAGGGCAGGTCAGGAAGAGGTGTATTTTTTGAGCTTTTCTTGCTTTACTGGGTACGATATTCTGGGCTGACAATTTTTTCCTTTTTGAATCTAGAATATGTTGCTCCATTCTCTTCTAGCCCGTAGAATTTCCTGTGAGAGGTTTCCTTTGGGTCTGATTGCCATTATTCTATAGGTCAACTGATTTTTTTCACAAGCACATTTAAGGATCTTTTCCTTATGTTCAACTGAAGAAAGCGTAATTATCATGTTTCATGGTGAAGATCACTTTTGGTCAACCCTGTTGGGAGTTCTCTGCCCTCTTGTATTCTGTTTCCCAATTCTTATTCCAGATTAGGGAAGTTTTCCTTTATTATTTCATTAAATACCAGCTTATCTTTCTGTGCCTTCTTGAACTCCCATATCTTATATTTGGCCTTTTAATACTGTCCCTTATTTCTTGAATATTTTTCTTAGTTTGACTTAGTTCCTCTTCCAGCTTTTTGATTGTTTCCCCACCGTGGCAGGAAATATCTTCCAATTCTGAGATTCTTTCTTCTGCCTCATTCATCCCATTATTTAAGTTTCCACTGAATTTTTAATTTGCTCACTGTGTCCTTTATTTCTAATAAATCTGCGTGATTTTGTCTCAGTGTTGCTGTTTCCTGGGTGACATATTCCTTAAATTCCTGCATGTGCTTCTCGTTGTTGATAAGAAACTTTATAACCATTTTTTTAAGTTCTTTATCCCCCCATTTCCTTGATTCCATTTCCTCAGTTAACTCTGAGGTTGGCAGAGGCTTTTGCTCTTTTGCAGGGCAATACATTTTGAAAGGCACAAGGAAAGGTATGCCTCTGCCAGTTGAGGCTAGTGTGTTCTCTAAATCACTGCAGCTGCACAGCAGTGTCTTCCAAAAATAATGAAAGTAAACTTCAGGTGATCTTCCAAGTCTGGTTCCAAATTTTATTACTGCCATGGCTCTATCAGCTACTTTTTAGAGAACTGAGATATATTGTTTAGGTCCAAGAAACCATGGCAGGGTTCTATTGCCTCCAGTCTTAAAGAATAGGTTTTTGAATTTCATGAAGGAAGGGTACTCTTCATATAAATGAAGTTTCTTCAAATGTATCTAACACAAAATTTAAAAATCAACAGCTGACCCCTTTCAATGTAAATTAAAGCATACATCTCTTAAAGGGGCTAATTTTTAGCTAATACAGGAATCTAGAAATGGTATCTAAACAAAATTACTGCCATTACCAGTTCAATGATAGCGTCTTCAAATGAGAATTACAATACAACCACCAAAATATCACTATTATAATAGCTCTTTTAGAAAAAATCACTTCCTGTGGGTACCCTCACCTTAGTGGTGAGTAGTACACTGTATTGTTTTAGAATGAAGTCCTTCTTGAAGCTAAGAAAGTCTAAGTAGAGGATGTAAGAATGTTTATTATAGTAGCCTGAATTTTCTGTGTTTCACTATCTTTATAATAAAAAGTTGTGGAGAAAACAAAAGAATGAGGCCAATTTTAAGGAAGCTATATTGAGTTTAAAAAGTGAAACTTCAAAGAGGCATTTGGCATGCTCCTCACACTGCAGTGCTAAGGTTCAATGCCCAGCTCCTGTGATCAGATCCTGGGAGGCAAACAATGACTGCTCAACTGACAGGGTTCTTGCTGCCCACATGGGAGACCTGGCTGGGGTTCCTGGCTGCCAGCTTCAACCACTGGCCATGGCCAGATATTTGAGGTAATGTAGACCAGGAGGTAGCAATACTCTCCATCTCTCAAATCAATACTTTTTTAAAAGTTAAACTTCAACACTGGCCAAATATGATAAGCTTCACCAGGAGCTTGTTCAGCTTTGGTACTGTTTTATTTTTCTTAAGGAAAAGCTGATACAGTAGATATAATATATAATAGGGTGTGTGTGTATAATATAAATATATTCCCAGAACACTCTGAATCCAGGCCAGAAAGGAGATGGCCATGCTTGTCTGGCTCTCTTTGTGACTTTTAACAAAGCTATATTATAGCTCCTTATCTGTTTGTTTTGAAAGTTATATAAGAAAAATTATTTACAAAGTACTTTGCATCAGGGTTATACTTCATTGCAGCTCTCAAACTCTCCCTGACTTAAATGATCAACACAGAATAAAGATTAAAGAGATAAAATTTCAGATATATCTATCCACAAAAATATATGAAAACAAATACTTGTTTGTCACTTGGTACCTAAAATAGCTTGTCTAATTGTTGCATAACTCTTGGCAAACATAAAGTCCATATAAAAGAATTACACAGCTTACTTTTCTAACATTATCCTAGAAGGAATAGTTAAAATTTTCCCCAAAATATTTCTAGCAGGGTTCCTAATAAGTGGGCAATATACAGCCAGTGCAGTTTGGAGGGCTTGCATGATCCTAACGGTTTGTTGAACTCAAGGTGACATTCTTAAAAAACAAGAGATTGGGTCATGACCATCAGAGGTGAGATCACTCAGGAAAAAAATAAACAAAAATCTAGTATTCCCTGTCCTTCCACAGCATGACTATGGGGCCTCTGCGCTTTCCTCATGCATTTATTGTTTAATTTCCCCATCCTGCACCAACAGGTACAATCTTGATTTCTTCCCATTCTTTCCCAATCCCAGGCCTTCCCTCTTTCACCTTATTTAACCTGTTACCTTCCTTTCCTTTTTCCTCCTGCATCACTTGGTCATTAACAATTCATGTGCATCTGCAGCTCTGTCAGTAGTTTTAGGGTATCAGACTGACCTGTTATTTCTATCCTATTTGTGTACAACTACTATGAAATCTAAGTGTACCCAATTGATGTTCAAAATTCAGGCAAAGGAATTTGAATAAATAGTATCTGGATTTGAGGAAAACATACATAGTTAATGCAGACTTAAATTAAACTCAACAATTTTTCAGCTTGTTGATATAAAAGCAATGCTCATTCGGTACAAACTTTAATTTGATTTTTTGTTCTTTCCTAAAGGAGCATAGTGCAGGGTAACAGTACCAGCAACAGCTGACTAACAACCAGTACTGAAATGTACAGTGTATTGTGTTCTATACACTATGACACATTCAAAGCTGTACTTTGATAATAAGTACATAAGATAATAAGCAGGCTTAATGTTTAGATGATTTTGCCTTGCTGCAGGGCAACCAAAGTACTCTGATAAGCACTCACTTACGGGAGGCAAGGCTAAGCTAAGCTGTTTGATAGCCCTGGTGTGTTAAAGGGCTTTTAACTAAGATTACCTCAACTTAGGATCTGTTTATTGGGACATAGCCCCATCCTAAGTTCAGTTATGTGTGATGCACATTTAAAATTTTGCTTAAAGAGGCTAGCCCAATAATTCTAATGGCTAATCCTCCACTTCAAAGCTTTGGCATCCCATATGAATAACAGTTCATAGCCTTGCTACTCTGCTTGCCACCTAGCTCCCTGCGTGTAGCCTGGGAAAGTAGCAAAGGATAGCTCAAAGCCTTGGGACTCTTACCCGTGCAGGAAGCTTCTGGCTTCGGATTGGCTCAGCTCTGGCACTGAGGCCATTTGGGGACTGAACCAGAGGATAGAAGATCTACCTCTGTCTTTCCTTCTCTCTGTAAATCTGCCTTTCCAATGAAGATAAATAAATCTTTAATGAAACTTAATTTTGGTGTGTGTGTGTTTAGAGGATTGTTCCTATGTAACTGTCCTCACTATGGGGAGACTATCCATGTAACTTATTTTGTATTTTCTTAAAACTATAAGATTTATGTGGGGTCCATGCAGTGGCCTAGCAGGCTAATGTTCCGCCTATGGTGCAAGCATCCATAAGGGCCTTGGTTTGAGTTCCAGCTCCTTGTTTGTGGCCTGGGAAAGCAGCAGAGGATGGATCTGCACCCACATGTCAGACCTAGGAAAGACTCCTTGCTCCTGGTTTCAGATTGGCCCAGATCTGGCCATTTGACTATTTGGGAAGTAAACCAGAAGTAGGTTTCTGTCTCTCCTCTACTAACTCTGCCTTTCCAATGAAAAATAAAATCTCAAAAAATTATGATTATAGAAAATACAAGGGAAAATTCACTATCACATCAACAAAGAGTAACCATTATGAATTATTTTGGTATATTTCTTTTAATCATGCCTATGTGACACATATTTTTAAAACTGCATACTACAATTTTTTTAATTTATTTGATCACATACCTTTCCCTCATCATGACTCTTCCTAACTTGACAGTCTAGCCATGGACAAGCTTTCTTATTGCTTGTTTATTTGAGGGGAGTGTTATAATATTTTAGTGAACATCTTACAGAAGAGTTTTGGTCAACAGCTCTGATTATTTCCTTGGACAATTTTGTTAGGAATATTGCTTAGTTCATAGATTTTTGAAGCTTTTTTTTTTTTTAATTGGAAAGGCAAGTTAATAGACCAAGGCTTTGGACCATTCTCTGCTGCTCTCTTAGGCCACAAGCAGGGGCTGGATGTGAAGTGGAGCAGCCACAGCTAGAACTGGTGCCCTATGGAATGCCAGTACTGTATGCAGAGGATTAGTCTGAAATGCCACCATGCCAGCCCCCAAATAAGGGCATTTCTAAGGTTCTTTAAAAAGTTGCCAAGCTCTCCTCTAAGAAGGCATCTACCATTGAATGGACAATGGCCAAGGTTGTTATGTGAATGCTGCATCTCTTCAGTTCTTGTCCTTACAAGTGAACTGTAACACTTTTATGGACCTTAGTTAAAACAGAACCACTAAAGAAACACAGCTGTTAGCATACCTACCCTGAGTTTAACCTATCAGTTAAAGCAGTTGACATTAGGGTTAACATCTGTGTGTTAATACATTCACTGATACTAGACTTTAATAAAATTGAGACAGAAATAAAATAATAACACTGAGCTTAAAGATCATCTAGGTAAACATTTCGTAAGAAAAAGGCTGTGTGCCTACCCTAGTTGTCCAAATGGAAACTTCTCAAAGTACATGAGGCACAGAGCCTGAGTTTTCCAATTCTTACATATTAACACTACCCAGCACCCTCATTTGTAAAATGAAGTTTAACCACAGGCTTTGTAAAATGCTACCATTTTTACTTTCTTGGGGCATCTGAGCAAAGGCTGTGGGAGCCGGAGGGCCAGGGACCCACCATGACCTCACAGAATGAACAGCCAGGAGCTAAGGAAGGACTTACCAGGGAGTCTTTGTAAAGTCAGCAGTACCAAAGACAATGGTGTTTCTGAGAAAGAAACAACTACTGGTTGTGTAAGAGGTACGACCAGTTAATCAACAGCTCCATCAAGTTCCACCGGAGGGATTGCCTGTGTATAAAGAAATTCGGCTTGAACAATGCCCAAAGTAAGTCGAAAGCCACAAACCACCTAGGCCCTGATCCTCCAGCCCAGCTGCTCAACAACTCACCAGGCGGGGAGAGACGCTAGACGTTGCCAAGGCCTCTCTCCCTTTGCAATATAAACCTTTGGACCTAAGACATTTTCTTAAATTACCATATGAAGAACGACCAGGGGTGGATTCTGAGTTTTGATAATTTAGGAAAACAAAACCAACAAATGAAATAAATGGCTAGGAAGATAAATATTCTATACATGTTTTATTTCGAGAGCTTAACAAAATGTGGACATAACGTAGGGAACATTATCGTAATTTACCTCCGTCCTCTGCAAGCAGGTGTTCCAAGAGCTGATTCTAATTCCCATGACAAAACAACCGGGGCCGCCCTATTATCCTCTCGTTCCCCCTACCCTGCCAGGTCGCACTTTGACTCACAAACTAGAGGCCACTTGCAAAGAAAGGCCACGTTTATTTGCACAGAATCACCCCCACCAGCACGGCTGTAGCCCTTTGTACTCGAGCTCCGCGGCTAGGGCGCCCTCCCCCGGCGCCTTGCAGCCAGCCCAGGCTCAAGGCCGTGCCGGAGGTCCCAACCTCACTCACTCTCCCCTTCTCTTCCTGGCGATATGGATGCGCAGGTGGCAGGGCGGGCGTGCGGCCCACCGCATCCCGCTCTCCCCACGTACTGCTACCGCACCCACAGCTTCCTCCGGGTGGCAGCTCTGCAGCCCTGCCCCTCCGCTCCCGCTGGGCAAGTCTCCGCCCTGGCAGCAGGCTTGAGGGTAACCCCCTTCTCCGAGAGGAGGGTGGCGGGTACTTATCTCGGACCTCCGGCGATGCGTGGCAACCCGTCCTCCTGCACAGGGGGGAACCGCACGACACGCGTCGGGCACGCTGTAAAATGGACTCGCGGCGGCCGGCCCCACCCGGGCACCCAGGGCCCCGCCTCCGGGCCACCGGCCCCGCCTCCCGCCGAGCCTTCCCGAGGGACCCGCGGCCGGGCGGGCGTCCTTCCGGTGTCTCCAACCGCCGGGGGTAACCGTCCTGCCCGCCCGCGGAGGCCGGGGAGGGCCCGGGGCTGCCCGGCCGCTCCTCCCGCTCCTCCCCGCAGCCGGGAGCGGCGCTGGCGAGCCGGCCACTGGACGCCGACGTCTTCCCGCTCAGCAGGCACGCAAGGCTAAGGTTGGGTTTGGATTGTTGTACTTTTTTTTTTGTTCGTTGCATTTTTTGGAACAAAAAAAAAAGCCCAACCCTTCACACCACTTCCCCCGCATCCGTGAGGAGCAGAAGCGCGGCCCCAGCGGCCCGGGAGCGGAGCTTGCCATTGCAGCTGCGGCGCGACCCAAGTTCCCCGTCCTTCCTCAGCCCTAGCTTTGCACCTGCCACTCTGGAGCATTGGGCAGGACACAAGCAACTTACTTCTATTCAAAAATCCTTTTTAGGAAAATAGAATACTGCTTTCTTTCCTTTGGAGGGAACAACTGTAAAACTGACCTTAAATGGTCCACCACTAATAATGCCTTTTTCCTGACGCCCACCCCTTATGAAATGCATAGAGCACTTACAGAGAGCAGGCGCAGAAGGATGCTGGAATGGCTGTGTTCTCAGGAGGAATTTGCTCCAAGCTGGGGGCAGGCTGTGGGAGCAAGGAGAAGGTAATTCTAGAGAAAGCCTGCTCAAGCGCTGTCGTTCACCCCCTTGGTCCCCTTGAGCCCTTTGAGCCGCATGATGAACCCAAACCCCACCAGCCCGGCTACTCCCTCCTGCACAGCCGCTAGCGACCTGATCCTGCCTTCTGTGAAGCTGTCCTTATAGATGCTGCCATCTTCACCAGAACACAGTGGGATGGAAATTAGGAACTTCAGTCTATATGTAAAGAAACAGGTGAGGTGTCGCCTTCCAGGTAGAAACCAAAAACAGCTGGGCCCAGTGCCAGATGGCAAGAACAGCTTGTCTACAGCAGCACTTGGTGCCAGTGAAATCTGCACTCCACCTTCCCACTAAATCAACGTTACTACAAATAAGCTGGTTTATGGAAACACTTTAAAGACCCTATTATTAAAATGACACCAAGGTAAAAGGTTATTGACTCATAAAGCACAAATTATCCTTAACATACTTTTAAATAACACACGTAGTTGGTGGTAGGTACCATTAACAATTAATAAACTTCCACCCAAGGAAATGTAAAACACCTGTTACATCTATAGAGCAATGTCTAAGCTTTTTAAAATTAACCACTAAGAAAAGAACACAGCACATTAAACTCTCAAATGTAGAAAAATGGGGGAGGAAGACAGCTGTCTCCTTCCTCCATGGTTCTAGGCAGATGAAGGCAACTGCCCTCCATAGTGCTCCTGGAACACAGTGGGTGCTGGCTCCAAACCCACATGCGCAGCCCCATCCTTCCTGGAGAGGCCGATGTAACTACATCCTGCCGGCATTCTCCCCACACCAGGATTTCCTTCTATTGACTTCTCCCAGTGAGAAAACATGGCAGCTTGGAGTTCTTATCTCAGCATAGTTGAAAGACTACAGTCTTGCATAGGTTTCTGGTTTTTTTTTTTTTTTTTTGTGAAAAGTATTTTTTCACTGGGTAGAATTTCTAGTCCAGTTGGTTCTTATTCCGTAGACTTAACTATGTTAAATCTCACTTGATGATGAGGCTTTTGTCCTGGGCCTGGACAAAGCTAAGAACGTTGACAGCAAACAACCAAGCCCTAAGTGGTCAGCTGTTCCACAGTAGAAGTGCCAGTGTCAAGTTGCACGCACACTGACACAGTCGGCAGTGTGGAGTCACTAATGTACAAGCCTGGGGCAGTGGTGTGGGCAGGAGGGCTGGTAAGCCTCAGCACGTTCCTTGGAACTTTTTAATTTTGCTTTTGTCTGTGGCTTCCAGAGCTACACACTGTAAGCCCCAATATTCCTCAATGAATTCCTACCAGGAAAAGACACTGACATTGTTATGGTTTACCCAAAAGGACACAGGCTTGGAAACCAGTTCTGCCTCCTGAGTTTAGCTCTGCCACTGACTTGTTCAAGCAACACAGCATCTCTAACCTGCAGTTTTCTCCTCTGTATGATGGGATACATTTGATGATAATTAGATAATATATAAAGCTTCTGTCAGTATTTTCTGACATACAACAAATGCATAATAAATGGTGGCTACTGTTATTTGGAAGAAGAAAGGCATGCTCATTTTGAGCTGCATTTGCTTTGGAATTTTGTCCAAACAGAGCTAACACCACCTGTGCAGTAGGGGAAGTTAACATCCCCATTTCTGCTTTTCATGCCAAGGCCTTGCAAAAGTATATATCCTTTCATAGCTCCACCTCTTTCCCTGTGCTTTGGAAACAGAAAAACTCAATTTGAAGAAAGCTTGGGTCTTTTCTAAAGCCCTCCCCTGTTTGTAAAAAACATTCAAAACATTCCATCACAATAGGAAACTCATAAGACAGAAACCTACCTAAGATCTGCTGTGATCACAGGGAACGGGTCTCTGGTTTGAAGCCAACTCCAGACTGCACAGTGAAGAGCACAGCACGCACTTCAGCAAGATCAGCTGGCTTTAAAGAACCAGACAGGTGCAAGCAGCAGGAAACTTCACCCCTAGTTACGTTGTTTCTGTGGATAGAAAGAAAAATTGCAAGATACGGTGGCTTTAGGATATGGTTATGACTCAGTTGAATTTTATCAGTTTAGGCACCTAGCATACCAATCAAGAAATTCCCCATTTGACTTGAAGAGGCAAGTTGTGTTACTTGGTACAAACGGCACATGACAGCTCATGTCGGAGCTAAAGTGACTGATAAGGACAAGCACAGAGCAATGCTCCAGAAGCCTCGGGGGAGATTTCCCACGAGTGGTAGAAGCGTAGACTGGACCTTCAGAGACCACAGGGCTTGAGGGAAAACAAGGGAAGGGCATGGAAGGTAAGCAAGAGCACAGTTCTGGCAGGGGCAGTGAAGGCACAATCTCAGGAAGGGCTATCTTGATAATGGGCTCCCTGCGCCGAATGAGAAGATATTTCCTTTAATACTTTTGAAGTTTCTTACTGAAAATAGTAGTTTTGAAATGTACTATGATATAAAAATGTAACATGTAATTCAGTGGTATTAAACCATTTAACATCAAACATGTTCCCCATTTAATTTCTTAATTTGTGAACAAAGTATAACAAAGAATCGTTGCATATATTCTCCCATAATCCTCCAGAAGGTGTGTATATGGTGTGTATGTCTATATGAACCTCAATCACATGTATAACATTCTATTACACTGATGTTAAAGAAGCTGTATAGAACAATGCTGTGTTTTACAGTGTTTCACCCAGCTTTAAAGTCATTACATAAATCTTCTCTGAAATGCATTACTGTTTTGCTATTTGAAAAATAACTGTATTCAATTATGATCATTTAGCGCTTTTCTAAACTTAATGTAGAATTTTATTTTTGATGAAGAGTAATACTTAAGGACCTTAAGATGATTCATTTGGATAAACACTAATAAATATTGACAATTGTTTAAGAGAACCTGATTTGTAGATATCATTCCTTTTCAACCATTCTGTTGCACCTGCTAATCATTAGATATTTCATATTTCATATGACAACTGTTTTATTTTGGTTTGGAGAAAAACTTCTATCCTGCTCCATGGGACGTTCCTAGAGTAATTCTTTGCAAAGATGACGACACAGGTTAGGAGCACTGTGGTATTCCATGGCTGATTCTTGCACTTAAATACAGTCTTCTTCACAAGTGAAGGCATTTGTAATCTCACAGAACTTTGGTTCCAAGGATAGAGATACCTGAACAGCACTGCACAAGATGGACACGCTTTGTGTATTTTTCCTGTGAGCACAAGCGGGTGTCTCAGATGGAAGGCACTGGGTAATGTATGTCTTGCCAGAATGTGCTTGTCCTGTGTAGTCCTGTTGTTTAGATCTCCAAGCGGGCATTGCTGGCATGGACTCAGGTCTCCACAAGCTTGGGATGGATCTGAAGAGGCTTCCAAACGATGTATGAGATGCAGGGGGAGGGGGATTATGCACTATCAGTACATTTTTAGGCATTTTGCAAAAGTTGCTGGCCTCCTTGTTACCAAATCCAATGATGGTTCTTTTCAGTTTTCTTTCCCTGGCTGTGCAGCATTCGCCTCCATGCCACTGCCTCCTCCCTGAAGGCCCTCTTAGCCCAGCTGTGGAAACACCACCACCCCAGCTTTTCTTTGGCCACCTTGTGACTCCTCGACTGGGTCATCCTCACGTACCCAGCACTTCAGTTCTAGAATTCTTCACATACTCAGCTTTAGGACAGTCTCAGGACTTTCTGTGCAAATTTAATGGTATTTGCATTCCCTGGGGAGCAGCAGCCACACCCTGATACCCCCATAGTTACAGCAGCTGTCAAGGATGAAGTGTTGCAACTGTTGGGACGCAAGTGTCTTATCCTTCCTCTCCCACAGTCCTTGCCCTGTGCAAGCATGTGAAGTGGCCTTCCTGCTGCCTGGCATAGGGGGCATGCTTCCAGCTGCGGGGCTCCTGCCCTCTCTGGGTCCTCCTCGCCCCCAGCACCGCCCTGCCAGCTGTTCCCGACACTGGCCCCTTTCTGACCACGCATACCTGAGTCAGCTAGCCTTCTCCCTGTTTCAGGCCGAGAGCCTTCATCATCCTGTGATATTCTTCTACCATGCATGCTGCAGTTTGCTCTTATGTATTTACTTGTGCAATTTGAATAATGTTTGTCTATTCACATGACTCTATACAAGAGCTGAGACGGTATGTGCATGTGTGCGTTTTCTCATGACTGCATTCCTAGCATCTGAATCAGTAAGTTAGGGAAGTAAGAGTTCTCTATTTAAAAAAAAAAAAAAATTGCTGTATCTCAGATATCCACAAATGAGCTGAAATGGTAAGGTATTCTAAATTTGCATTCACTTGAAACAGACATACCAACACACTTTGTGTCTCATCAAAACAAAGGCTCATTACAACACCGTTTGTCATACTCCTTCAAGGTCAGGCTCCAATATAGGTTTTTTGGTTTTCCTGTTTTTGCTTTTTCAATAAATAAGTTATTTTATTTTTTTCATGATTTTTACATTGATGACTAGGGTATGAAGGCTCAAGGGCCAGAGGAAAAGGGTGAAAACATTGTTTCCACATTCTCTTCTTTCCCTCCTGTATCTGGGGGAAACAGGCAGGGGACAAGCAGAGAAGCCACAACCAACCTCCCAACTGTCCCAGGGTCCCCAGTGTGGGGCATGCTCCAAGGGTCCTGCTCAAATGATTTTGATAGTTCAGTTCTGACTTGCTGTAGATCCCAGCACTCCACGCATGATGAAATCTCCCCCAAAATCTACTGGCTGACACAATCCACCTCAGAGTTTCCATTTGTAAAATATTCACTGCCACTGATTGGCTGTGGTTCTGTCCTCCATCCTCTGATGTGGTGGTACCAGGTATCCTCTGCAGACTCCAGAGTACTGCCATATCCTCCATGTGCACCTGGACATGCTGCCCACTGCTCCATTTAAGCCACTGAAGAGGCCCAGCTGTGATACATGCACTCCACGGTCAGACCATGGAACCTGCAATTCTCTCCATGGTTGGGGTTCTGAGTCCAGCAGTTCAGTTGGTGGGGAATCCCCACAAAAACCTCATCTTAGGCCAGCCCAGACCTGGTTCTTGTGTGTGCTTGCCAATACAGGGCCCAGCACAGTCTGTCACCCAAATCATCCTATGCACACACTGGTAGTTGCAATTGCTGCATTAGTTCTGCCTATAGCCCTGTCTTCTACGCAAATCAATGGATATTGGAGTCCAACCAATCCTGCCCACCACACACTTGGCCCAGGAGTGAGAAGACAACTAGGAACATGGAGATTCTCAAAGTTTTTGAGAATAGTAATTTCAAATAACCCAATAATTCATTTTCTAAAAAGTCACTGGATCTCAGTTCTCAGTGATGACCTCTTCTTCCCTATCTAAAGCAAATTACCAAAACCAGAAAATTGATCTTATTCTGGTTTCACCAGCTTCTGTATATAGTCTCTTTTCTTTTTTTAACTGAAAATGCAAAATAATAACATAAAAAAGTTTTGAATAGGAGTTAGCGCTGTGGGTCAAACCATGATCTACAATGCTGACATTCCACGTGGCCGCCAGTTCAAGTCCTATGGCTCCACTTCCATCCCAGCTCCCTGCTAATGACCTGGGAAAGCAGTGGAAAATGGTCCAAGTATCTGGTCCCCTGCACCCACATGAGAGCCAGCAGAGGGAAAAATCTATAACTCTTTCAAATAAATAAATAAATCCTTTTTTAAAAAAGTGTAGTTTTCACTTGTTGCCTTATAGAAAAACACACTAAATATTTACTATGGTTTCAATATACAAAATAATAGTAATATGCTATATTACCTCCATGTGTTTTTACACTGTTACCACATATGTAAACATGTATGACGTAAGTATCATTGTTCCGTAAGTTGAAAACTTTACATACAAAAATCATAGTAATACACAAGCGGGCACATTTTAAAATAAAAAAGCATCTGGCCATGGCATTGCTGATATTTTTGATGTCATTTGTCAGCTGAAAGAAGCTTGACTAATCTTCCCCAGAAAGGGGTTGTCATGGAGATCAGAGCTGAAGCTCTACAGCAGCCTGGCCTAGACTGGAATCCAGAATCCCCTGCTGGCCAGCAGTGTCTTACTGGGCAAAATACTGAAATTCTCTGGCCCGATTCCTTGCCTGTGAAACGAGGCAGCAGTCCCCATTTGCTCGAGTGGTTTGAGTATGTTCAAGGGAATGTGTGTGGAGCAGAGTAACTGGACAAACTCAGCTGATGACAAACTCAGCATCAGCAGCCTCATCTTTGTTGCTGCAGGTGTGAATCCTGACGCAACTTTCTCCTCCCATAGCTAACCAGTGCACACAATCAGGCAGGTGTGTCCTCTGGCGCTCGGCCAGGGGTGTGCTCAGAAAGAGTGAACAGCCTGCTGGAGACAGGGCTGCAGGCAGGGAGCTGCGTCCGTGACGTCTGCCAGGTTCTAGGGTGGTAAAGCCCCCTCTTGGATGACTTTAAGCCACCAGCTCGACTTCAGTGAGCATAGGCTGGAGAAGTCAGAACAGCAGCCAGCTCTCCTGCATTCCAAGAGAGAGTTGCTCCTTTTTAGCAGCTTCTTTGCTCACAGCAAAATCAGGCCCCGACCCGGTCAGGCGGAGAGCCATACTGCCCTGCCTGAGGAAGAACTGCTGAGTGGGAGGGGGTGAATTTCTTGGTTCCAAAGTCCAGAGAGTAGGGCACACAAACGCTCCCTGGGCAGGCTGTTAAGGTGTGTGTGTGTGTGCGCACACGTGCTGTAATCGAGGATGAGATGTTATTGTTAGGAGGTCATATGGCCATCAGGTTTCTTTAGTGTTCACCCTGATTTTTCAACATACAGCATTTTGTGCTATACCATATCTACTGAAAGTTCAAAGGTAATCATTTCTGCATCTTGCCATAGCTTTCAAAATGATGCTATTAAAGAGCTTCATGATTCAATTCACACACCTCACTACAAGTTGCATGTAAAGGAAAAAGCCAGTCAAACCCTCGGGTAGCCATCTGTCCAAAGTCCCTGCGAGTGCTTTGGAACAAATGATGACACTGCCTTTTGCCAGTTCAGGTACCTTGGTCTGTAAACATGTGCACTGGGCAGTCAGTAACTCTCATGCTGGGCACAACAGAGGTAGTGACTTTGGCACCAGGGGATAACAGGAAGTTAGAAATAGTGATATAAACACAAATGAGTAAGAATGTCAAGTACTGGGCCCAGTAACCTAGCGGCTAAAGTCCTCACCTTGTAAGTGCCAGGATCCTATATCGGTGCCAATTCATATCCTGGCAGCCCCGCTTGCCATCCAGTTCCCTGCTTGTGACCTAGGAAAGCAGTTGAGCATGGCCCAAAGCTTTGGGACCCTGCACCTACGTGGGAAACCTGGAAGAAGCTCCTGGTTCCTAGCTTTGGATCGGCTCAGCTATGGCCACTGTGGCCACTTGGGGAGTGAACCAGCGAACA